ATTAACAGAAATCAAAATCACATTACGCTCTCAACTTCTTGCGAGCATACAAGCCTTACTCCAACAACAAGATTATACACTTCCCAACAATTCCGAATCCCCGCTGCACGAAAATAGGGAAACGATTTTATTCCGAGCGCTATGTGAATCATCGTTCGTTTTATGGAACAGCCGAAAGAATTTGAAGCTGCCTTGGAGCTCTTTATTCGTTTTTGATAGAATGATGTGCACGTATTGGAGATTTATGGAAATTGCACTGTTCAAGCAAAAATTGCAATCCGATGAGATACGCACAAAAAGCGGGACCAAATTCTAAACGAAAATTCTGGAAAAAAACGATGAGATAACTTGAAAATATAAAAAAGGGAGTCCTAAAATCAAAAAAAATTGACATGCTTGCAGGTGATGATGGCTTTCACCTCATCGCACCTCCGTAATTACACCATAAACTTGGTCGCGGCACTTTTGATGTGCCGTCGCCGTTAACTAGCAGCTACTCTAAACGTCACAACAGTTGTCAGATTGACGGACAGGAGCTGAGGAAAGCTAGGAATGTTCGAGAGCTCAAGCCGCAGGCATCAAAATTGACTGGAGAGAATCGATGATTAACTAAGGCATAAGAGGTTCAAATCGTTTATGGAAGGAGGAGATCTGAATTTGAGCGAAATCGTGGTTTTAGAATTCGTCAGAAATCAATCAAACCGGTGTTAGTCGCATCGTATAAAATATTCCATATTTTGGTTTTTATGAATAACTAGCGACCCGTAGGGTCGCTAGCAAGTGGGTAGGGGCAGATACAATATAGGGGCTTAGTTGTGATTATATATTTTTTTAGATAATTTCCTATGCCTTTCCGAGAACATTTTTGCGAAAAGCACTCTACAAAAGGAGATGTTCGAAGAAGCAATAATCTCCACAAACCATTCAGTATTTTTCGAAATTCCTGCTGCAACCATGCATGGGGAATATTATTTTTCTCTCCTTTACCACGCTCTTTCTGCAAATTTAACCTCCTCACAGAGACATTCAGATAAAACCCCTCCTTGTTTTCTACCCTCTCAAAGAGAATTTGCTCTTGCAGTTCTTCTCAACAATTTCCATAGAAGATCGTTAAGGAAGTAGAAGAACACCTATCGTTTTGGAAGTAGAGATACACCCATAACAATCATGTGTACTACAAAAAACACTTTTTTCTCGGAATCAACTCCGACAGCAACGAAATCAATCGTCTAACGATAAGAACTTAGTCAGAAAATCCTTCAACATTCCAAAGGAATATGAAGCTTTACTATAAAAGGAAAACGCTCCCTGAAAAGCATGACTACTGAGCCACCTAAATACCCTCAATTATAAGAATTGCATGGACGTACCAAAAATTTGTTTCTCTGTCCAATTAATTTGCCTTACGTGCCGCTTAAAGACAATTCGAAAAATATGAAACTGCCCCAAACGTACAAAAATCTGTTTCCCTGCCCGATCGAGTTGCCCTACGTGCCGCTTGAAGACCATTCAAAAAATATAAGAACTGCCCCAAACGTACAAAAATCTGCTTCCCTGCCCGATGCAATTGCCCTACATGCCGCTTACACACCATACCTAGTTGAAGGCACCAGCGGGACCCACTAACAAGCAAAAGCAAGGCTGTTATTAGATAAACGCTTCCAAAAGTATCAGCGAGACTAAGTTACGCACTCCCTTGTCTACCGGCGGAAGCAAGATAATCCTAAAGTGACTGTTATTAGTTAGAGCATTTTTACCAAGAGTTGGGAGCTTAGATGAATCTAGTTCAAGTCACGCTGTTACGCAGTTTGGCATCATTTTAAAAGCAACTAATAAGAGTACAACATATTTGAAAGACACATTCTGGGATAACAAGCTCGAAAAAAAGCAGCTACAAATAACACACCCAGACATGACGACCCATTCTCAAAATCACTGCGATACTCATGATTGCTTTTCGAAATACGTGTGGCCCTTTTACGAAAATATGCTTGGACTCGTTATGAAATTTGGCAGCGTTCCAAAACGCATGCCACTTGGCAGCAATCCAAATCCAAAGATCAGTGTATTTCATCATAATTTCTCCGTCTGCGGCCTCCTCGTTTGCCTGTTCCACGGACCTGGTGGCTTAATGGGTAAACAACGAATTCGTTATATATTACGTAGTGATATGAAAGAAAAAATAGCGAAAACGGTTATTGTAATCTTGAGTACTGAGTTGGCGACAGGCATAAACCTCTTTTGAAGCTTTTAAACCATTTCCAGTTTTTGCGTCAGTTTCAACATGATGCACACGAAAAAATTCACAAGTATTTTTGATTTTTCAATATTTTTGCATCTCTTTTGAGACCATGAGACTTTTGTCTTTGAGAAGACAAAGACGAAAAGTCTGGAAATATAGAACAATAATGGATTCTAGATCAAATCCTGTACATGGAGTAATAGCAAAAATAATTAGCTGTAGGACGCATTTAGATCTTAACAGGATAAAAGAGGAAATATACTTCGCAAGAGTCATCTGTTTAGAAAAAGCCCTCCATAAAGATCAACAGCTGATGTTCCTTGCAGTCAGCAAGACGATAATCAATTTTACAATCGTAAAAAACAAAAAAATCAACAAGTCTAAAAACCTAAATATAAAGCTATACAGAAATATGCTCAATCTTTCATTGTGATATATCGTACGCAATTACTTTGAATTATGGGGTATCTCACCACCAAAGCAGAAAAAACCCCTTTCCTCTTCTTCCCTGCTCTCCGCATTCAAAGCAATCGAAGCTTGCTTGCCAATTAATCTCAGCCATGAAAGAGACTCTGGGGTTGCGCTCGCTCTAATTGGCATGCCCGATACTTCCTCTCTCCCTAACTCTCTGAAGAATGTTCTCGAAAAGTTTGTGTCATAATTGAAGCTTAGACGCGCGTATCCGACAGATAATAGGTTTTCAGCAAACATAAAGTACTCACAAATTAGCTCGAAATGAAAATGGATGTACGTGATGAAGACAGACGCCCCTCTGTGACACAAATAGCTGTCCAGCCATTAATTATTCCTAGCTGTGAGAATAGCCAAAAGGAGAAAGAAGCGTGCAACGAAAAGATTAGATCGAACTTTGTAAACAATTTAGCGTAGCAAACGATGTAAACATGTCAAGACAATAAGTGATGGACTTCAAAGATTGTGAAACAGTTACAAAATTATCAAATCAATAAATCATTCATCTGTTCTATGACTGGAAGAATCTAGAACGCTTTGCATACACTGTCTTAACAAGCTTGATCGTGTATTTGACAGGTTCATACTTGTATGTTCATCCGATAGTAAGAACTAGCACTTGAAAACAAGAAAAAACAGGTTCAACTTGCTCGGGCGAAATGTGCAAAGCGGTCTCGAGTCTCCGATCATAAAGTAGATCTTACAAGACAAGCCTCCATCGTTTTTGAAATAAAAAACTCGAAAAAAAGTTCGGCAGAATTCATCAAGTTACGGCAGTTGTGCAAATACGTATAGCACACTAGATCTGGGCTCTGCCCGCGACATGAAAATCACCGAAATGTAGACGAATAGTTTGTATCGTACTACCCACTTACAAAGTCTCACTATTTTCGAAAAAAATATGAGAAAAGTCAAGTTGGATTCATCATTTGTGGCAGTTCTGTAAATACACATGGCACACTGGATCCAGAACCTGTCCACGACATGAGTGTCATCACACCACAAGTGAAGTATTGTATTACCCACTCACTAGTACTATTGACGTAAACATACATAGGAAGATTCTCAACCGTTCGCCACCTTTCTTACAATTTTTCAAGTTTTTTGGAAATTTCGGCCCATTCCAACACAGATACTGCCATAAATGCCAATCAGCTGTAGCCCACAAAACATCATTTTTTATCGATCTTATCGAACCAGTAATTGTAAAGGTGCTAGACCTGCAGGCGATTTCGCTGCGGGAGCCGCGCAGTTTCCCGCAATTTCACCTTCTTCAAATAAGCACAACGATTTGTTACACAGAGATTTCACAAAACCCATTTCAACATTTTGTACAAAGAATCATTTTTCTGACTACTAATTTACTGATTACGTGACTCCCTCACCGAAGTATTAGTAAACAAAGGTTTCGCTCTTTGACAGCATCGCTGCCTCGGCCGCAGCCGAGGGAGTCCCACAGGACAGGCAATGCGATAAGAGCTCACTGATGAGATTGAGTTCCGACAAGAATGGGGATGATTGAACGAGTCTAGAGGCAAAAAAAACGAACAAAATAGAAATCCAATGGATGCTGTAAACAAGTAAAGCGCGAGAAGCTATCAGGAAAAAAATAGATTCAAAAAAGGTAGGAAATCGATTTTGAAAAGGAAAATATGCTTGCGAAACAAGTGCGATGTCAAAGAGTCTTGAGAAAGAATTATCGCTTGCGAAACTATGTACTGAAATTACATCCAATCACTACGGCCCCAAGGGCAGCGATAAGGGAAAAACATTCAAGAATAATTGTAACCATAAAAAGAAGAAAATCTGTCACAAAAGGCAAAGACCTTATTACCAAACGGAAATAATCAAAAATCTATTGCACTGTGGCAACGGATATTGCAAAAACAAGGTATTATTCATGGTTGGCACAATTCGTAAAAACAACTAACGCAGTCAGTAGCAGCGAGCTGGAAAGAATATGCGAGGTGTTGAAATGCAATTTGTATATTCAGTCATGCTCTTTGACGTAATTTTATCAAGTCTGCAACGAAGAGTTTTTAGTGACGAAAGACGAATAAAAACTATGAGAAGAAGAAGCAGAATGCTTAAAAAAAAGCTCTGCAAAATGAGGTAGAAGCTTATATTATAAAGTAAATAAATCTTCTCTCACAGAACAAATAGATGGGTTTTGCAGAATCCATGCATTCTTCTCATTTTACAAAATTAGATATGATGCTGCTAACGTAACTAGATATCCCGAAACAAAATAAAATTGCTAGAAAGAAAAAACTTCAAACCCACTCACCTAGCAACAATAACTTGATGATTCTCAACGACATCGACTGATCCTTCTTGATCTGTTCATCGATACGTCGATTGAGGCGTTTACCCTCTTTTTGATCCTTACTGGTACAATGTCCCATCCTAGCCAAACAGCCGGGATCCGAGCCGAACAACGAAGACGGCGTGGTGGCACACTGGATGCAGTACAGTCACAACAGCAATACCGTAACGCCGCGCTGTGCAGGACCACCAGTCAGACTATGAAGAGCCTGAACGTGTGCGTGTGTGCGACTAGACGAAGCGATGCAGTTCGTGCCACCGGCGCTCGCAAGCTCTGCTACTGCGGCCGCGACGACGACCGCCTTCGTCGGGGCGCTCTGCGTGTCTGCGCGCGCGTCCGGCGTCTCCTTGCCCGCGGCGCTCTTTGCGCGGCGGCGGAGAGTCAGCGATAGCCGCGTGCTCAACACCCAGGATATCCACACGACGTCGTGGCCACACCCTTTCTCGCCGCCAGTAGCTCTGACCAAGCTCCCCCCCCCCCCCCGCTCGGCCGCCGCCGGCCCCCAGCTCTCATTCGCTCCTTTAATGTCGCTGTTCATCTGCTCAGCCGATCGATGTCGTCTGAAGTGAACTGAGTGCATCAGGGCGCGAAGCATTAGCGAGAGCAAGTTAGCGTGTGAATGCGCGAGCGGAAACCGTCGCGGCTTCTTCGAGAGTCCGAACGCCTACGCCGATGGTCTTTGGACCGATACGGGGGATATGCTATCTAGACAGGGTGTACAGACTTCCTCATCCCAAACAAGCAATTTGTGTAATTGCACCATTTCTGCAAGCAGTACAGCAGGACGGTGGCGTCATATCATGGTTGAGAGGATAGTGAAAAACATGTGTAATCAATGCAAAGACAATTGCGAGAACTGAAAATTTGGTTTCGTACTTTTTGAAATTGCTGCCATTGAACAAAAAATGGTGCAGTTACACAAGGCGACTCATGATAAGAGGCTAGTGTAAACCACCTTGAATCAAACGGGACAAAGTATAGCGTAATTTTGACTCTTATGGTAGCTTGCGTAATTGCACAGCAACCCCTACTCGCGCGAAGTGTCCGCGATTTTTCATGGATAAAGGACAAAATCTCTAAAGATAGTTGATAGTGTCCTTTGCTGATCAGCTCTACTTTTTAGGCATCACAACAAAGCTTTTCTCCAAGAAAAGAAATTGTTTAATGATCAGCCAAATGCTGGAGTTTACGCACAAACTCGCGTTGGTGTGCAATCGCACGTAATGTCACCCAGTTTTACTCCAGTTTAGACTAAAAGATCGACAAGATGGCGAAAAGGTTGCTGTTGTGTGAGTAATTACAAAAATAAGAAAGGGTTGCTCTTTGTTTTGATAGTTTACTCAGTGAATGATATTCCTATCACATGCTTTCCAACACTTGAGATATCTTAGCTGATGAAGAGTGCGGAACTCTGTAGTTCCAGTATTGATTTATGTCGATAATCGTTATTTTATGCGATGTGAACGACGAACAGACAAGAAATGCAAACAAAAGAGAAAGGAGGGGGAGTGTTAAATTTGATCCACAGTACATTATATTTATCATGAATTTTCATTAAAAAAAGAAGTAATTCGAGTTGAAATTTTATTCGAAATGTGGGATTAGAAATGACGCAAGCTTTGAATCAACTCAGAAAAAGATCTTTTGAGAAATTACACAAACTCAGACAGCTGGCCGGAACCCTAACTTCTGCGGAAACCCTGCATAATGATTAAGAAAGAGCTGCGGAACCGCTGCAAATTCTGCTTGCCCTGCGAAAGTTCCGGTGAATTGTCTGAGAAAACTCGAGTGCTCATGCAACACATGGCCATTAAAGGTCATACAAGCACTTATGAACCCTTGGCAAAATCAACTACCCTATTTTCAGGTGTATAAGCCGCACCCTTTTCACTCTAATGGCGAACACGCCAAAAGACTGACTGTCCTCATGGAGCGCGTTAAGTGAGAGCAGTGTGCGATAAGGCGACCGCTTCGCGAGACACATGCGCGGCGGCACGCCTGGGTCTGCTCGCGTTTAGAGCAAAAAGGGTGCGGCTTATACACCTGAAAATAGGGTACCAAATATTCTTCTCTAAGCTTTCTGTTTTCCTGGGAATAAAAGCCAATTGTGCAGCTTGCAACATTCGTTCTGTTTCTGATTGTTAGCAGAAAAACTACCTCTAGCTGTCATTTTATTGTTACAAGATCATTTATCTTATTTCTTTGTAATACATGAGTCAGAGAAAATTGTTATCATGACCTAAACTATTTACACCAGTTCGTATCTATGAATCACTTTAAAGAGAAAAAGCAAGTATAAAACCCCATTACACAACATTTGCTTTTGCAAAGAGCTAGTTTCTCCCTAACTGCTATGAACATTCCAGAGCCTTTCTATCAAAACTCAGTTCTAAAGAACAAGATCGTCTGTGTTAGGAAAGCTCTAGAAGAATTTGAACATCCTTCCCTCTTCCTACATCTGAAATAAAAATAATTTGGTCTTATTAATCTTCATGTGAAAGTGATACTAAGTCTCTCTTTCCCTTGTTATTGTGCATAAGACCAAGAAATCTCATATTTTCGCTATAGCTTGCCAAATCTAGTGCTTGTTCGACGTCGACTTCGTGAAATGAATAACTCATAAAAATCAAATCTTTTCCCCATAATGTCAAAAAATCGATAATGCAAAATCGTGTAACAGAGGAATGTTTGAGGGAGGTAATGTCTGCCCACCAGTAATAATTATAACAAGCATAAATCTTCTTCCGCCTTTCCTAACTCCAGGAAGAAGTAAATGTTCTTTTACACTGCAATAAATTACTGCTTCCTTCGTCGATTCCAGTATTGAACGTGAGAGGAAGATGCCTTTCGTTAAGAGAGTAAGCACAGAACGCAATGAAAATTTAATCCAAAAATATTTTCAGGGAAAACTTGCAAAAACTTTGTTTACTGAAGGTATATCCCCATGTTTAAAACCAAGAGACTTTATCAGAATAAACATGTTCTTTGCTATAAGCCAAATAGATCCCTAAACCCAGATTTTCTGCTGTGATGATTTCAGAGTGCATCGTTCGCCGTTCACCTTATTGTATTCTAATGGCTACGCATTTGTACATCGCGAAATATCCAGAAATCAGGAAAAATCATAAATTGACGGCAGATAACGTTTCAGTTTCTATTATACAGAGGGTCTCAAAAAATGTGCACAATGTTTGGTCGTTATTAACTCTCTAACACTGATGTCTTTCGCCGATCTTTAGATACTGTTTTGTAGAGCTGGCTTCAACTTAGATTTACGTGTGGAGCGAACTGCCGATCGCTGTTCATTAATGTAGTTATGGTAGGAACATCCAGCAAACAAAAGCATTGCGAAATAGGCCGTCCGACGAAATTTTTTTTTCAAAAATTGCGAAAAATTGTGTAACAGATTTTTCGAACATGCTGATTTCACTACACTACTTTCTATAAGTTTTTAGGCTTTTTCAAAATGGTCACATGTCTGGGGAGCAATAAGAATTTGTTACGGTTGACTGGAAAACTCAGGAATAAATCATTACAGTTGAGCCCAACTTAAATTCAAAATCAGCTTTTGATTAGAGTGGAATATAACTTCTTGGCTTATTTGGTTTCAATGGCCTAAAATCCTCATCAAAGTTCCTACCGTAATCCTACAATAATGAAAGTGATAGGTGATTTGCTCCATAGAGCAAATAAGTTGTAGCCTCCTCTATTAAATGATACCTAAAGATCGGCGAAAAACATTAATGCAGGAGAGTTATTAGCGAACAACAACAGTGTGAGCATTTTTTGGACATCCTCTATACTCAGTGAAAAGAGCTTGAAACTTTGGATCTCAGTATTTACATCTAAAAAAGATATTGCAGGCCAAATTTGCTGACAGTAAAAATTTCTGGTACATGGAACTCAGAGCCTATGACGTAGCTTCAACTGCTTCGGCTATTTTTGGAGATTCCAATTCAAGAAAACTCATTTAATGCTAGCTGAGTACCCAATGCATTTGTAAAGTCCATTTGCGATCTTAAAAGTCACGCAAAACCTCTTTTCACTTCCTGCGCAATAAATTTTGAACACATTAGCGATACCCTTACAACAGTAGCGGTCCAGGATTTCCGTCCGGCGGGGGGGGGGGGGGGGGAGCGGAGGGGAGGGGCAGAAATTTGCTCAAATGAGGGTGGTGCGGATTTAGACACGCACTCCGAAAAAACTTTTTAGAGTACTCCTCACAATTTTCGCGATTTCGGAATTTGAATTTTTAAAAAATTTTGAAAGTTGTTTAATTATTTCCAAAAATAAACAAGTCACTTGCACATTTTTATAACCCTTGTAAGTAAATTTCGAGAATTTTTCGACCCATTTCCAGGGAGGAGCGGGGGGGGGGGAAGTAGGAGTGCGAGCGACCCCTCCTCCTGGTCCGCCACTGCCTTACAATAAGGTGAAAACAATTCGTAAAGGTGAAGGGGAAAGGGGAGGGGGTGGGGCGAGGAAACGAGAGAACGCTTTTGAAGCGTTAGCGAAGCTTATAGTGTTGCCAGTACTCTTACAATTCAATAGATTTGACGATAACAGCGCCCTGCAGTGATGACAACAATTGCGCGTCAATTGCAGCACCGCGACGAATTGAATTTATGCGCTTTGTAGCGATTTTTTGCGCGCAAATGAAGCTAAAACTGATTATAAAGTTACCATTGTATGTAAGTAATTATACTTCGAGGCATGTGAAGCAGGTACACTCAACAAAGGGTACCTAATATCCGATTTTCGCTCTCTTCAAGTTAAATCCATGAGAAATATATTAATAAGTTATTTAACGTAAGATTCAACCTTGAGCCTTATGGTGATTCAATCAATCTCTGTAGAACCTAAAACCGCTGGAATTTTGACGATTAATCGTTTTTCCTACCACTGCCAGTAGATGAAGGGCTTTTGCCATGTTGTGCTTTTTTGCATTTTGTTAGCTCCAGAAATTTTCGATATAATTTCTCAAAAACCATCAGTTCTGAAAGATATGACTCATGGCTTCACCAAAAAATTTCTTGGGATTCTAAAGTTGTTGGTACAGACCGTAAGCACTTACAAAATAGAGAAATAAGGCAATTTTTTCTCAGATTTCACCCAAGTCACAAAGAAAAAAAGTTAAATGAGAGAGGAAGAAAGACACATCGAGACCAAAATTAATTAAGACTTGTCGTTCTACATTTTTTGAGTAGCTACCAAGTTGGAGGTTTTACTTCAAGAAATAATTTTTAAAAAATCGAAACATTTAGCTGGAGATGCGAAAAATGCATTGCAAAAGTTTTGCACTTTCTTCTGCGTCATTACTGCTTCTTCAAAATTTCGAAGTAAATTATAAATGGAAAATTCTGAAGCTAGGGTTAAATTTGGACAAAGTAAAAATGATGGGTCAAAAATCTCCTGGATTACGAGCATGCAAAAAGAGTCACTTCGAATAAATAACCACGAAGAAAAGAGAAATTCTGCATTGAATTAAACATAAAAATTAGCTTATTTTTAATCTGAAAAACTTCTGGAATAGCGCAAAAACCGCACGTACTTTGGGACCTTCACGTATGAAAAATCCAATTTGAATTTTTTCTAAGTTTCACGAATGATTTTTGGCAAACTTTCAACTACAACTTGAACTACCACACTGTTTTTGCATGAGCGCTACAATATCCATGCACACGAAGGTGAAAATAAGCCAATGAATATCCCTTGTCTCCTCATTCAGTCTCGTTTATGCCAAGAATCGCAGTCATTCACTCTTCGCGCGCATTGTTACATTATCAAGGCGAAAAGGTGACCTCCGACAGGTACGGCGCATCCCGGCCAACGGCGCGGTGCAGTGATAACTTCGTTGAAATCATACTATACAGAATCATTTCTGTAGTGTGTATTTCGCAATCCCAACCAAAAAGCGACACCTGTCCACCGCGATGAACGGGAAACGGGCGAGTTGCGAGCGGGAAGAACGCGACTTGTCGCGCTGAGGACCGTGACGTGGTCGTAAGATCGCGTCGGCGACTCGCTCCTCTGAGCGGTTTTATAAAATGTGAAAAATAAAGAAAGAGAAAAGTAGGGGTGAGTTTTTTAAAAAATGTGAAAAATAAAGAAAGAGAAAAATAAGAGGCTAGTTGATCCTAATGTTTCTATTTATATTATATATAATTATTACACATTATATATTATTTTTAATTATTTTTATTCATTTATTTTTTATCTAAAATTTTATGTTTCTCCCTATCCTGAGATCAAAACATAGATTTGTGGTCTATTTAGATTGGAAATTTTTTTATTTTGCCGTGGTTCTGGCAAAAAAAGCCTCCTGTTTCATAAATATTGAGTGCTGAAAAGTCTTTTACTAGTGAAGGGTTTATTCGTGACTCACTCTAAAAATTGCCCTTCTTTTATTAAAATAAATAACAGGAACTTGTCCATTGGCCTGCCTCATTAAAGTGTTAATATCCTGTGAGTCATATAATTGCTAAATTTTGTCCCTAGTAAGTTTATGCTATAGACGATCAGTGACAGAACTGGGGGGGGGGGGGAAGATGAAAAATTAGTGCAAAATTTTAAGTAGTCTACATGAGTTATAATGCTGCGGAAGTGACTTGCTTTCACGCTTTCATCTAAAATAAAATCTTTGGAACTATAAAAAATCGATTTACCAGGGTAAACTATCTGGGGGCTCCTGACGCCACGCCTCCTTTTCTGTAATTTTGGGGCACAGGCCCACCAAAATCTGAAAAGCACCGTTTAAGAAAAAATTCAGATGCTTTAAGAGATCCGGACGAACTGGCTAGTGCCACGATCGATGTTCGGGGGTTTATGTTTTTGAGTTTTTGAGATAATTTTTGAAGTTTTGTTTCCCTCCCCCCCCCCCCTTCCTCTTCGAAAAACTTTCCACGGATAGCCCTTGCTAGCCATGTCGAAGAAACAATCTGAAGTACTGATTACGGCAGTTACTAGTTAGCATTTAGCATATAGCGCAATTATCGCGGCCTCCTATCACAGCAGCCTTTACCCCATGTTGTGGCAAGATTAGCAAGTCGGCGCGCATACGCAGCAGGCTCACCTGCGCCAAAATTACCGAAGGTATTCGGTAGCTTTGCGCAGAGGCGATAACGTGACCAATGAGGCTCTGCCGAGGTGCGTTTATTGCTGGTTGAAAACTTATACCAATTGCCCGCGATGGCGCCTGAATAAGGCTGTCATACGCAATTTTTGAACGCCTCGAGGAGGCAGCAAAAATTGATCAATTATGAGGTTCAAAGGATAGCATTACCCTGGCGTAACAGTGTCATCTAGTCACTTACATTATAACCTTTTTTCACACACTTCATATTTCAAGCTCCACAATTTCTCAAGTCAATATGCTCCAGGATCCAAGTAAACGACTCACGCTCAGGTTTTTTTTGTGTGCAAGCGATCTCTAGTTGAAAAGTTTGAGTATACAGAGAATTTGGTGACCACATCAAGAAGACCCTTCTTCCACTTGCTAGAACTGCGCAGTAAATTCACAATAGCTATACTCTTGCAGCAAACTGATAGTGACTTTGGAATTGTACACATTATTGGAACAAATATATTAGGATGAACCGAAAGTTTGTTCGCACCATTTTCAAAAAATCGTAACTTCTTTCAGTCACAACGATTTTGCGCAAATCAAATTTCATCAGAAAGCGCAAAGCATGTAGTTTCCAAATGTTCCCTGGAAACGTTCCAACATGCTCACGATGCAGAGAGAAAAATGAAAGAACGAGATCATCCGAAAATCGGAATTTTTGAGCAAGAATTATAGAAATCCAGAAACTGTGCGATAAAATCCAGAAAAACCATTATCCTAATTTTTTTATATTTGATTATTAACTGAGTCAAGTTTGTGCTGACCGAACCCTTCTTTCAAAAGTTATGATTTTTTGAGAGAAAATGCCGAAAAATCAATTTTTTAAGAAATCTTAGGAAGTTGATTTTTCGGCATTTTCTTTCAAAAAATCATAACTTTTGAAAGAAGGGCTCGACCAGCACAAACTTGACTCATTTAGTAATCAAATATAAGAAAAAATAGGATAATGGCTTTTCTGGATTCTATCGCACAGTTTCTGAATTTCTAGAATTCTTGCTTAAAAATTCCAAACTTCGGATGATCTCGTTCTTTCATTTTTATCTCTGCAACCTGAGTATGTTGGAATATTCCCAGAGAACAATTGGAAACTACATGCTTTACACTTTCTGGCAAAATTTGAGTTGCGCAAAATCGTTGTGACTGAAAGAAGTTATCATTTTTTGAACATGGTGTGAACGAACTTTCGGACCAACCTAATAGATACAAGTATTACATCGTTTCCGTTTTCAATGAAAAAGAACAGAGAAAACGAAGTACACTTGAACCCTATGCGATTCTTCTCTCTTTCCATTTTATTCCTTCAGAAATTTGTAAAACAGTACAAGAATATCACCTCTGAACTGTAATGATCACCCAAGTCAAGCTCTTACAGCGAATGGCATTTATTAAAAGTTATTATAGGATTTGTCTTGAGAGGTTATCGATTTGGAAAAAGATCGACTTAGAAAAGTGAAAAAAAAACAGATAAATTAAAAAGATGCTATCACAACCAGTTATGTCTCATTATGCTCGGAAATGTCAACATATCAAAGTCTGCGGATGACATATGATGTAAATGAATACTAGAATATTGGTTAGCTTTGAAAATATTGCTGTATCAAACTTTCTGTATCAACTTTTTTCAATTCTTCTTTGGCCAAGGTTATATCGGAACTTATCGCTGCACGGAGCTCATCTGAAAGCAGGAAAATGTTATATTTCAGGTAGTTCTTTAGCCTCGCACATATACAGTACAGATCACTTTACTGTAAAGCTATTTAAGATATAAATCTCACCCAAGCTATTGAAGGCCGTCATTGGGCGAATAAAGCCGAGTATGAGAACATCCATCATTGAGTCATAAAAATCGTTTTCGAACTGCCGCAGAAGATGTACCTCCTAGAAATCGAGATTTTTTTAGAAGTCAGATTACTTGCACTATTTTCCTACTTACAAAGTTTTACTTTGAAGAATCCTAAATTTTTCAAACGAGGAAAGAGTTAAGCAGAAAGTATGTGAAATAACCAACTTAAGCTTGCCTACTCACCAAAGTTTTCTTTTCATTCTTATAATGTGGATTCCAACCAATGCTCATCACCATCTTGTCAACCTGAATATGTTAATCAAAAGGTTTTTCGTGGTTAATCGTCTAGTGTTCATATAACATCAGAAATGAAAACTTTCAGTGTGGGTTCAATAAATGCATTGAAGTCTCGTATTTCACCTACAATCTTCTTTTCCAAATCAAATTAGTTGTTTTTGTGCACGAAAAATCATATTTCCCTTCTTAATGGATAATGATAAAAGATAAGTCGTGGTGTGGCAAGAACTGATCCAATTTTAGCGATAACTATACCTGTTCACCATCGACCCGCGCCAGTCCGTAAAATACTCCGCAAGGAAATTCAGCAGGTAAGGTTTCCACCACTGCCTCTTCAATATTTGCTGAAAAAATCACAACCTTCATATCTCCAACAAAAAAAAAACACTCGCTACCCACCTGTCGGGCATCCTAATTGTTTGCCACCTCTTCCAAAGCCAGTAACCACTCGTCCACGTAAAAAATATGGCAGATGGCGGTCTAGATGCATATAGCGACCTATTGTACGGATAAGAAGCATAGGGAGAGTCTTGGACGAACGAACATCACGAGTAAGGACAGACAAAGTTCAAACTAGATAAGCAAAGGGTAAGACCACACACAGAAGCACAAAAACAAGAGGCTGTTTCTCTTCATATCAAATGAAATAGTTACAATGCCGCAAATTCATAAACCCGTGAAAATCTGGTGCAGAAAAAACAAGAAGTTTCGTAGAAGATTCAGAAAATCTATGAAAAATTGGATAAATAATCGGATACATGTGGAGCCATTAATTGAGGAAAAAAGATGCAATCAGTTAAGTGACATGGAGTGATAAAAAAAACTTTTCAAGGACTACAAGCGCAACAGAAGCTCAAGCCAAACAGGATGTACAAACAATGGATACCTTTTACTCCGCTATTTTCCAGAATTTCGCATCTAAGACAAGCTGTGAGCTAGTGCAAGTACTTATTCAGACAGTCAACTGAGACTTTGGCAGGACAAGCAAAATTTGCAAATTACCGCAGGATTTTAGGTACTGCTAAGAACGCAGGCGTCAGAAATGGGCAATTCTGCAAAAAAAGGCGCACCGGAATTGGGGAAAGGGACCTTCGAGCGCTGCTGAACTTCCCAGTGTTTGGGAATCTTTGCAGCATCTTGCGAGGTTGCAGTGAGTGTGGAAGTTGCGCAGGTGATCCGGGGGAACTTCGCTGGAGATAACTTGGCGTATGTCAAATTGAGTTTGAAAGAGATACATGCGCAAAATCCTGTCTTCTCTGAATAAAATAGCTCATTTCAAGCATTTTTTCTCATCACTTCTCTCTTTTTTGTCTCTAGATACTCCTGCAACTGCTTCCTTGAGTTTTCCGCTTCCTTCTTCAGTTGAGGGCTAGGCATTTTTCCAGTGTACGCATCCAACATCCTTATCACTAGCTGTATATCTTCAGAAAACGCATCGATTCCAATAAAGATACCAGCAATGCTGCAGAAATGCACAATTACCAGGTTACAAAAAACTAATCTAGCACGTACTTTTGCAAAATGGACAACTGGTACTTGTGCGTTGCAGACAACGGAGAGTACTTGTGGGTGCTTGCATCGAGCATCCACTTTTCTATCAGAGGCCATAGTTGGTGGCGAATCCTACGATAAACGAATGTTTTGGATACTCGGACCATTTGAGCCACGACCTATAAATGGGAAAAAATGATTCAAACAATTCTTCCTGCTCTATACTGCAACTAGATCATAAAATGGTTTATGGAAGTTTCTCTAAGTATTATTTACTTCCGGTTCATCAGTTCTATTTTCATAAGCAGAAATAAGCTTTTTTGGAAAATAAAATCGCTACCTTGATAGCTTCTTGTCGAACCTCCAACTCTTCATCGCGAAATCTGTTTATTAGTGCTTCCCAGTTTTGATGAACCATAGGTAACAACTGATCATCAAAATTTCGTACCACCCACAAAGCTGGAAAAGATGGTAGAAAAAATAGATTATTAGTGCGAATCTACTGAAAACTCGAAAAAAGTGCGTCAAAGCTCACCCTCGCGTAGAATTCTCATAACTAACATTCTGACAGGATAATGCGGTGATGAAAGTAGATGCTTTGTCCTGAAAAAATCTGCTTATAGCTCAATGGTAGTAATTGTCTAAGAAAGCTGCATTTACCTTGTCAAAACCGCTTCTACGCTGAGAATGGGCACTGGTGGAGGCTTCTTTTCCGTATCCATGATAGCTTGCTCCTCTGTCAGCTCTTCTTCCTTAGACGAACTTTCTTCCTAAAAAATTAAATCAATTTTTTGGTTTCCCAGTAATAAGGCCATACCTCTTCCGGTTTCAGCTCTGGATACCACCTTCCAACAGCTGTCACAAAAGTCAGCATAGAGCGTAGTATTAAGATAGAGTACGTCTAAAAAGGCTCTATCGGTTTTCCTTTGAGAAGCAGCTCCCATTTCACTCATTCCCCTTCCTCACCTGTTTGAATCTATCCAGCGCTTTTAAGAGATCTTCAACAATATGTCTAACATGCTCGTACATTCGAGGGTCATCTACCCGATCAAGAAGGGAGGAAAATACCACTGGGGCATGATCGTGTTCTCTACGGGATCTCGCTGCTAGTGCGATATGATGCACAATATAAGAGCCATGCTCAAAAAGGAATTCGGAGACGGAAAGAGACATCCTCTAAATTGACGACGAAACTATGACAAGCGGGTAGAAAGAGAGAAGAACCTAGTTCCATGTCAAAATATTTTTATCACCAACGCACAGCAGCAATCTGATTGAGAGCACAATCAACAGCATCATGAACAATCCAATTAGAGATTGCGTAAAGCCCAAGCAACTCGTAGAGAAATTCTACCAGCAGCTGAAAGTAAATTCTATAGATTTTATTGAGGTGACTGTTATGCTTTTGTGCAGCCTTTATTAGCTGAAAAATGAAAAAACTGTAAAAGGAACTTCTAGTCTAAACTTGCTTTTCGACGTTTGGTTTCCTCTTGGATGGAGGTAAATATGATGGCCATTAACAATATCAGAGTTATAGATTGTATGGTCTCTTCGCTTGGAGCTGGTATTTTATCTTAAGTATTTTCGCACTTATAAACATTTCAGATTTTTGATATACCAGACTAGACGTACGCTCTAGCACATCATCCCGAGTATGCTCTTCTGGTCTTAACTCCTTAATCCATTCTATACACATCTCTGCGAGAGAGTATAGAATATGTGAATCAACTTGTGGCTCTAATTCGGCAAGAATGAAAGAAATGAGAATGGCCGTCGAAGCTCGATCGGTTACGGGACAATCCGCCAACTCTGACACAGCTATGTCCACGACCTTGAAACTACTTGATACAGCAAAAAATATAAAATTTTGGTGAAATCTACCTCAATCCCGCCATGCTTAGCAAGTAAGTTGCATATGGGTAGTATCCAAGCAATCTGTACATCAAAGCATAGTGGTAGAGATTTCAAAAAGTCTGAAAATCACCTTTTGTTTTTAATTTTGAGAAATATATTCTATACATACCAACGGATGATGTATGACTCTGTCCACGACTGATCAAAAGACGTCTAGCATCTACACGAAGCGAAGCCGCCAAAGCAGAGAAGAGGGCTTGCAGAGATGGAGCGCGGCTGGTAGCAAGCCTAGAGACATCTACATCGAGGCACAGCAGGACACCAGCCAACTGTAATTATTTCTTTAAAGTTAGAAATTTTGAATATGGCTTATTTTAGATATTCGGGACCCAAAATTTCAAAACCACACTTTTTTGTGCAGGCTGATATGGAGATTATCTCGACGTACTGAACATCAGCCTGATAGTGCCTCCCTGGGGTTACGGTAGCTGTGCGATAAGAAGGCAAAATTTCAGAATTTATCGGAATTGCACAAAAATAAAATAATGTTCCAAAGAATCATATACAAACGTCAAGGTAATGAACCCCAAAATGAGATCCATAATGAGTCAAATTTTAGGCAAATTTTTACTCTGATCTAACGTGTGACTACCGTAATCCTCATAAAATGAGCTTATCATGCAGATTGAATGTGTTATGATAAGCAAGCAAAATTGCTCCCATCAGCCAAATCAAGGTGAGATCGCGGTTTTGAGATTTTGAAGCCGAAGTCCAACAAAAAACGATTTCACTCTGATTCTACACTTATTTTGTACCTGATGGAACATTAATTCGCTGCCTGTCGTCCCTTTTCTGACGTAGACTGGTATTCTTTCGGCAAGTTCCCGTAGCTTTTCATGCATGTGCAGTGAATATGCAGCCAAATTCTCAGATCGAAGTCTGTTGGCGATTTCACTGTAAACAATCAAACCATTTTACTGCCATTAGAAGAGACAGGTTGATTATTTCAGGGCTTTTTTGGCCTGAAATAATGAAACAAGCTAAAAAATAATCATCTACCTTTCGTGAGAGCTTGTTGCTCGCAAGGTTAGCAAAAGATCCATAATAAACCGTCTACATACCGTTCCTTTGAATGCCTTCTTGCAGTCGCTTCGGATGGAATCAATCATTTCTAGTAGGCTTGACCGGACTTGCTCATCGGGATGCGAAGTCAGACTCGAACACAGAGCCCGTATCTTAAAAAAAAGCCTAAAAACCAAATCAGCATGAATATTCGCAGATAGCGGACTATTTTGTTGATGTTCGCAGCTGAAGTGGCTTTCCATTTATCATCCTTTTTCACCAGCAGACCTTGTATCTCAGGCCTCAATCCCTGTATTTGGTCTACACTGTCGTCCTGTACCGTATCAGCCAAGCAGAATTTCACAGCCATTGAAATGACCTGCAAATATTAAATTTTGAAATTTTTGAGGTTTACGAGTGATTTTTGGCAAACTTCCAACTACAACTTGAACTACCGAACTGTCTTTGCATGTCACTTGAGAGGTGTGGTTTGAGCGATTGACCAAGATGGTCTGTCTTTGCATGAGTGCTACTGTATCCATGCCCACAAAGGTGAAAATATGCCAATGGAATCCTCTTGTTCCCTCATTCATGCCAACGATTGCCGTCATTCACTCTACGCGCGAATTGCTACATTATCAAGGCGAAAAGGTGACCTACGACAGGTACGGCGCATCCCGGCCAACGGCGCGGTGCCGTGACAACTTCGTTGAAATCATACTATACAGAATCATTTCTGTAGTGTGTATTTCGCAATCCCAACCAAAAAGCGACACCTGTCCACCGCGATGAACGGGAAACGGGCGAGTTGCGAGCGAGAAGAACGCGACTTGTCGCGCTGAGGACCGTGACGTGGTCGCAAGGTCGCGTCGGCGACTCGCTCTTCTGAGCGGTTTTATAAAAAGTGCAAAGAGAAAAATAAGGGGTAGGTTAATCCTAATGTTTCTATTTATATTATTTATAATTGTTGTTATTTTTTTTATTATTTTTACTTTCTGTTTTTGTTCGATTTTTTCTATTTTTTTTAATCTTAAATCTTATGTTTCTTCCTGTCTGGTGAGATTAGAACGTGGATTTGTGGCCTGTTTGGACTGGAATTTTTTTGGCGTGAGTTCCGTCAAAAATGCCTATTGTTTCATAGATATTGAACACTGAAAAATCTTTTAAAAATGGAGACGTTTATTCGTGACTCAATCTAAAAATTGCCCTTCTTTTGAAATAAATGACAGGATTTTGTCCATCAATAGGCCTGCCTCATTAAAGTGTTAATATCCTGTAGAGTCCTATAATTGCCCTAGAAATTTTATACCTAGTAAGTTTATGTTATGAACGATGTGACGGACCTGGGGGTGGGGAGAGGGAGGGGAAGATAAAAAATTAGTGCAAAATTTTAAGTAGTCTACATGAGTTATAATGCTGCGGAAGTGACTTGCTTTCACGCTTTCACCTGAAACAAATTTCTGAAACCCTGAAAACTCCAATTGACAGGGTAAATTATTTTGGAACTTTTGACGCCACGCCTCCTTTTTTACAATTTTGGGGCTATATGTCCACCAAAATTTTGGAAAGCACCGTTTAAGAAAAAAAATTCAGATGCTCATAGATCCGGACGAACTGAATAGTGCCACCCCCCCCCCCCCCGTTATTCAGGGGGTTCAAGTTTTCGAGTTTTTCAAATATATTGGGAGTTTTTCGAAGTTTTGTCCCCCCTCCCCTCTTCGAAAGAATTTCCTGGACAGCCTTTGTTAGCCATGTCGAAGAAACAATCTGAAGTACTGATTACGATAGTTACTAGTTATCTATTAGCATATATTGCGGCCTCCTATCACACTTGCCTTTATCCCACGCTGTGGCAAGGTTAGCAAGTCGGCGCGCATACGCAGCAGGCTCACCTGCGCCAAAATTACCGAAGGTATTCGGTAGCTTTGCGCAGAGGCGATAACGTGACCAATGAGGCTCTGCCGAGGTGCGTTTATTGCTGGTTGAAAACTTATACCAATTGCCCGCGATGGCGCTTGAATAAGGCTGTCATACGCAATTTTTGAACGCCTCGAGGAGGCAGCAAAAAGTGATCAAATAAGGAGTTAAAAGATATCAGCTGTAGGTTAATTCTACGTGAATTGTATCATTTTCTCGCACACCTCATATTTTCAAAATCTACAATTCAATTTCTCAATACACTCCATGATTCAAGTGAAAAATTCACGGGATTTTTTCTTGTAAAAAATGCAATTTTGGTTGAAAATTTTGAATATTCGTAGATTTTGATTACCACATCAAGAAGGCCTCTTTACTTGCTAGAACTGCGCAGTAAAATTCAAACTGCTATATCCTTGCAGCAAACTGATAGTGACTTTGGAATTGTACACATTAATGGAACAAATATAGATACAAGTATTACATCGTTTCCGTTTTCAATGAAAAAGAACAGAAAAAAACGAAGTATATACACTTGAACCTTATGCGATTCTTCTCTCTTTCCATTTTATTCCTTCAGAAATTTGTAAAACAGTACAAGAATATCATATCTGAACAGTAATGATCATCCAAGTCAAGCTCTTACAGCGAATGGCATTATTAAAAGTTATTATAGGATTTGTTTTGAGAGGTTATCGATTTGGAAAAAGATCGACTTAGTAAAGTGAAGAAAAAAACAGATACATTAAAAAGATGCTATCACAACCAGTTATGTCTCATTATGCTCGGAAATGTCAACATATCAAAGCCTGCGGATGAGATATGATGTAAATGAATACTAGAATATTGGTTAGCTTTGAAAATATTGCTGTATCAAACTTTCTGTATCAACTTTCTTCAATTCTTCCTTGGCCAAGGTTATGTCGGAACTGATCGCTGCACGGAGTTCATCTGAAAGCAAGAAAATGTTATATTTCAGATAGTTCTTTACCCTCGCAAAGATGCAGTACTGATCACTTTACTGTAAAGCTATTCAAGATATAAATCTCACCCAAGCTATTGAAGGCCGTCATTGGGCGAATAAAGCCGAGTATGAGAACATCCATCATTGAGTCATAAAAATCGTTTTCGAACTGCCGCAGAAGATGTACCTCCTAGAAATCGAGATTTTTTTAGAAGTCAGATTACTTGCACTATTTTCCTACTTACAAAGTTTTACTCTGAAGAATCCTAAATTTTTCAAACGAGAAAAGAGTTGAGCAGAAAGTATGTGAAATAACCAACTTAAGCTTGCCTACTCACCAAAGTTTTCTTTTCATTCTTATAATGTGGATTCCAACCAATGCTCATCACCATCTTGTCAACCTGAATATGTTAATCAAAAGGTTTTTCGTGGTTAATCGTCTAGTGTTCATATAACATCAGAAATGAAAACTTCAGTGTGGGTTCAATAAATGCATTGAAGTCTCATATCTCACCTACAATCTTCTTTTCCAAATCAAATTAGTTGTTTTTGTGCACGAAAATTCATATTTCCCTTCTTAATGGATAATGATAAAAAATAAGTCGTGGTGTGGCAAGAACTGATCCAATTTTAGCGATAACTATACCTGTTCACCATCGACCCGCGCCAGTCCATAAAATACCCCACAAGGAAATTCAGCGGGTAAGGTTTCCACCACTGCCTCCTCAATATTTGCTGAAAAAATCACAACCTTCATATCTCCAACAAAAAAAAACACTCGCTACTCACCTGTCGGGCATCCTAATTGTTTGCCACCTCGTCCAAATCCAGTAACAACTCGTCCGCGTAAGAAATATGGCAGATGGCGGTCTAGATGCATACAGCGACCTATTGTACGGATAAGAAGCATAGGGAGAGTCTTGAGCGGACGACCATCACGACTAAGGACAGACAAAGTTCAAACTAGATAAGCAAAGGGTAAGACCACAAACAGAAGCACAGAAACAGCAGACAGGTTTCTTCATATCAAATAAAATATTTACAATTTTCGCATCATAACCCGTGAAAATCTGGTGCAAAAAAAACAAGACACATTTCATTAAAGCTTCAGAAAATCTACGGAAAAAGGGATAGGTAATCGGATACATGAGAAGCCATTAATCGAGGAAAAAATATGCAATTGATTAAGTAACATGGAATGATAAAAAAAACTTTTCAAGGATTATCAAGCATAACAGAACTAGCCAAACAGGATGTAAAAGGCAATGAATACCTTTTACTCCACTATTTTCTAGACTTTCGCATCCAACGAGGGAAGGGTACTTGGTGACCTTGGCCTTTTGCAATAAGGTGTATACCAGTAGGTGCGTCTTGGAACGCTGATTCTAAATCTATGTTCACTATCTGCTGTGCGACTCCCTGAACGAAGCTATCGACTTTTTTCCATATTGGTTTTGCGAGATTTAGGCAGTCAAGATCGTCGGTATCCAGGCTTTTTAGACTCTGATGTATCGGCGACAGTTTTTCTGAGCTTAACGTCAAGCTTTACTTTATCTGTACGCTCTTTTGTAGTGCGTAAGCGAACATTCTGACGATATTGGTGAATCCTGCTTCAAAAACAGCGCAAATTTTGGTGACAAGAAAAGTTCATAACTTCTTTCGGAAGAGCGCACAGCAGATAATGAAAACAGATTTGGAATCAGCGCTTCAAAATGCATTCAATGGTGTACGTTTCATTTCAAAAGGCTACGGTCACCAAGTATCCTTTCCTTGTAAGACGAGCTGTGAGCTAGTGCAAGTACTTATTCAGACAATCCACGGACACTTTCGGAAGACAAGTAGAATTTGCAACCTCCCGCAGAATTTTATCTAGAGCTTAAAACGTACGCGTCAAAGTGGGCTTTTTCACCAAAAATGACCACACCAGAACTGGGGAAGGGGACACTTCCACCGCTGCGGAATTCCCACTATTTGGGAATCTTCACAGCATTCTGGGAGGTTGCAGCGCGTCTGGAAGATGCGCAGGTGACCCGGCGGAACTTCGCTAGAGATGATTTGGCATATGGTAAATCGGGTTTGAAAGAAAGACATGCGCAAAATCCTGTCTTTTTCAAATGATGGCTCATCTCAAGCCCTTTCTCTCCTCATCTTCTCTCTTTTTTGTCTCTAGATACTCCTCCAACTGCTTTTTCGAGTTTTCCGCTTCCTTCTTCAGTTGAGGGCTAGTCGTTTTCCCAGTGTATGCATCCAACATCGTCAGGACTAGCTGCATATCTTCAGGAAACGCATCGATTCCAATAAAGATACCAGCAATGCTGCAAAAATGCACAATTACCACGTTACAAAAAGCTAATCTAGCACGTACTTTTGCAAAATGGACAACTGGTACTTGTACGCTGCAGACGTTGGAGAGTACTTGTGATTGCTTGCATCAAGCATCCATTTTTCTATTAGTGGCCATAGTTGATGACGAACTCGGCGATACACGAATGTTTTGGATACTCGGACCATTTGAGCCACGACCTATAAATGGGAGAAAACGATTCAAACGGTTCTTCCTGCTTCACTGCAAGCAAATCGTCATCATGATCTATGAAAGATTCTCTCACTTCTCTTTACCTCCCGTAAAAACTCTACTTTCAATTAAAAAATCATTACTTTCTTCTGTTATCGGAAAAAGCTTTTTTGGAAAATAAAATCGCTACCTTGATAGCTTCCTGTCGGACTTCCAACTCTTCATCACGGAATCTGTTTATCAGTGTTTCCCAGTTTTGATGAACCATAGGTAACAGCTGGTCATCAAAATTTCGTACCACCCATAAAGCTTAAGAAGAAGACGTTGAGAAGATACTCTAGAGCAAAAATATATGAAAACTAGAAAAACTGCGTCATAGCTCACCCTCGCGTAGAATCCTCATAACTAACATTCTGACAGGATAATGCGGTGATGAAAGTAGATGCTTTGTCCTGTAAAAAATTCATTTTGTGGACCATTTATGTAGGTTAAAAAACTGCTACCTAGTCAAAACCGCTTCTACGCTCAGAATGGGCATTGGAGGAGGTTTCTTCTCCGTATCCATGATAGCTTGCTCCTCTGTCAGCTCTTCTTCTTTGGACGAACTTTCCTCCTGAAAAATTCAAACCAATTTTCGGTCTTCTATTATTAAGGCCACTACCTCTTCCACGGGTTTCAAATCCGGATACCATCTTCCGACAGCTGTCACGAAAGCCAGCATAGAGCGCAGTATTAGGATAGAGTACGTCTGAAGGGTTCGTAGAGCTTTTTTTTGGATATAGCTCTCATTTTACCCCTTTCTCACCTGCTTGAATCTATCCAAAGCTTGTAACAGATCTTCAACGATATGTCTGACATGCTCGTACATTCGCGAATCATCTACTCGATCCAGAAGGGAAGTAAATACCACAGGGGCATGATCGTGTTCCTTACGGGATCTAGCTGCTAGTGCGATATGATGCACGATATAAGAGCCATGCTCAAAAAGAAATTCGGAGATAGAGAGAGACATCCCCTAAATTGAAAATTAGACTACTACAAAAAAAAAATAAAGAATAAAAGTAAAAACTATTCTGTGTCAAATTATATTATCATTAACTCACAGTAGCAAACTGATTGAGAGCGCAATCAGCAGCGTCATGCACAATCCAATTAGAAATTGCGTAAAGTCCAAGCAATTCGTAGAGAAACTCCACCAGTAACTGAATATCAATTTTAAAAATTTTATGAATGAGGCGATTGTTATGCTTGTCGCCAGGCTTTTTCTTTACTGAAAAACAGTTTGAAAAGGTAATTCTAGTCAGCTACCTTTCGACGTTTGCTCTCCTCTTTGATGGATGTGAATGTAACGGCCAATAACGATATCAAAGTTATGGATTGTATAGTCTCTTCGCTTGGAGCTGGTATTTTATCTGAAATATTTTTATACATACAAATTCGAACTTTTACGTTCTTCTAATTCGCGTACGCTCTAAAACATCATCTCGAGTGTGCTCTTCTGGTCTCAAATCTTTAATCCACTCGATACACATTTCTGCGAGGAAATAGAGGACATGTGAATCATCTTGTGGCTTTAATTCGGCAAGAATCAAAGCAATGGGAATCGCCATTGAAGCTCGGTCGCACATGGAACAATCCGCCAGCTCTGAGACTGCTATGTCAACTACCTGGAAATGACTAAATGGGCAAAAAAAATTCTTGTTAGAAAAACTACCTCAATCCCGCCATGCTCAGCAAGTAACTTGCATATGGGAAGTAGCCAAGCAATCTGTACATCAAAGCATAAAGGAAGAGATTTCAAAAAGTCTGTAAATCAAACTTATTCTTTATCTATATTAGAAGTTAAGTTTTTCACATACCATTGGAAGATGTATGACTCTGTCCGCGACTGATCAAAAGACGCCGAGCATCCACGCGAAGCGAAGTCGCTAAGGCAGAAAAGAGGGCTTGTAGTGATGGAGCGCGGCTGGTAGCAAGTCTAGAGACATCTACATCAAGGCACCGGAGAACACCAGCCAACTGTAACAATTTCTTGGGAGTTAAAAACTCTGAAAATTAAATCATTTCAAAAATGAAACCATTCTGGCTATCAAAACCTATTACTCGGGATGCTCACAAAGGTGATAGCGCCTTATCAGAAAGAATGGTAGGAGCACAAGAGAGCCAAATTTCGGAGTTGGTGAAACTTTTATTTTAAATGCTGTCCAAAGTGTCATGTGAAAAAGTCAAGGCCATCAACGTCTCATTGAAGTGCAGAAATGAGTCTCCATACCGTATACCTACCGTACCCTTATGAAACTCACTCTACCAAGCGGGAGGAGCAACATCTGCGTGATGTAGCGTCCAATCACCCTACTGAGTCAGATCTGAGTCAGATATTTTAACTCCCTTTCATGTATCTACCGTAATCCCAAAGTGATCTTACCATGTGGAGCATAGTCTGATGAGGCTGTCAGATTAACCTAAGTGATCAGGAATAACAAATCCTGACTCTAAAATTTTGATGCCAGTTCCCGAGTAAAAAATAATTCTATGTAACCACTGTCTGACTGCATAGTTTTTATACCTGATGAAACATCAGTTCGCTGCCTGTTGTCCCTTTCCTGACGTGAACTGGTATCCTTTCGGCAAGCTCCCGTAGCTTTTCATGCATATGCAGTGAATATGCAGACAAATTCTCAGATCGAAGTTTATTGGCAATTTCACTGAATATATGGCTAATTTGCGATTTCACCGGTTTATTGAACAAGATGGATTGAAAGATTCTACCTTTCGCGAGAGCTTGTTGCTCGCACGGTTAGCAGAAGATCCATGAGTAAACCGTCTAGCGTTCCTTCAAATGCCTTCTTACAGTCATTTCGGATGGAATCAATCGTTTCTAGTAGTCTTAACCGGACTTGCTCATCGGGATGCGAAGTCAGATTCGAGCACAAAGCCCGTACCTGAAAAAAAAAGCCTAAAAATCAAATCAGCATGAATTTTCGCAGATAGCGGACTATTTTGTCGATGTTTGCAGCTGAAGTGGCTTTCCATTCATCATCCCTTTTCAGCAGCAGACTTCGTATCTCAGGCCTCAGTCCCTGTGTATGGTCTTCAATGTCGTCCTGTACCGTATCAGCCAAGCAGAATCTCACAGCCATTGAAAAGAGCTGCAAACAAATTCCAAACCTGTCAAAAAAAAGAGGCGATACCTACCCCCCCCCCCTCCCCACACCAAGAAAAAAAGGAGGCACTTACTTCCAACGAAGTAGTGATTATATCCAGATGTTCATTGGACGATTTGCAAAGTGTACTAGCCAACGTTGATGCCAACCCGGGTAAAACGACACATAGAGATCTGCTATCTTCTTTAGATGCACTGACGACAATTTTCAGAGTATTCAGTGCTATCTGCCTGCAAGTTTCACAGTTATCCAGCACAAAATGAAAGAAGAGAGCCGCTTTCTGGAACAGTGAGAAATGCAAAGAAGATTGTCCAATTCTTCTGTCATGATTTCTGACGAAAAATAAAAAAAAAGCCAAAAAGGAGGTAATTCCCAAATGTCGTAGAGGTAGACGCCTTTGTGAGGCATGAGAGGGGCATTCAAAAAGAATTAATTATAAGCATTATCACAAGCGCCAGACATAACAGATGATTGCTCATACATTGGATGGCATCACATATAGCAGACATACTGCTTGTCAAAATTTATTCATTCGATTCTGTATGTAATGAAGTACATCTATAGCATTTTATGCCTTTAGGCTTTGGCCACTTTATCCGTGTTACCGTTGTCACCAGTGTTACTCGCGTTACCAGTGTTCTAGTGTTACTCGTGTTACCGCTTTCACTGCTATTGAGTAGTGTAATGACCACAGATGCGGTCTCATTCTAAAACGCAATCTCACCGACTGGTGAGTAACACTGGTAACATGGGTAACACTGGTAACACTAGTAACACGAGTAACACTGGTAACACCGGTAACACGGGAACTCGGATAAAGTATGGCCAGAGCCTTATTTTCCGAAGTGATAGGTAGTTAAACACCAAATAGGCTCTCAAAGTACACTATATGCAAAAAAAATTTGATGGTATTTTACTAACATAACCATGCGAAATTCATTTTAAAAAATCCTACCAACATATGACGTCTGTGAGTTTCGTTAGATGCCGACAGCCGGGTAAGTTAAGAAAATCAAATCTAGGGTATGTATCAAAACATTGTTAGAGAAGAGAGTAGAAGACTGCAAAATTTGGAAGATTCGAACAAGCACAATAACAGAGACATGCGGGAAAGTCCAAACTCGCCATTTATATAACTCTGCAAAAAATGAACTTGAACGTTGACCTTTTTAGGATAGCATGATTTTGGGCTACGGTAGACAGACAGAATGTAAACTTTGCAGTGCCCTTGTAAAAAAGGAAAGAATGTCAACAGAAAGTGACTCACGATCAAGTTGTCGATGACTATGCTTGAAAATCGCAAAAAAAAAGACTATTTGCGGTTACTTTTGAGCACCAAGAGGACCTAAGAGAAACCAAAAGCTTACCTGCACCTCTGATCCTTTGAGGAATCTGAAACCACTTCTAGACAAACAGATACCAGTTTTCCATACAATGCGACATGCTGCGGCGAAAGAATTTCTGCGATGAAGATTGCGATCATATGGTATGGATGAAGTCTATCTATACATGAAAAACAAAACCACACCTTTCGACAGGATGTTATTTTGAAGTATATCAGCGCAAAGATCGAAAACTGCTTGAAGAATTGAGAATATAGCATTAGAATCACCTCCGAGATTCGACAGCAGAGCAGATAGAAGGGGATGGACATGGTTAAATTTGATAGAGCTTGGCTAAAAGCTGGTACTAAATTTCTATCAAATCACGTCTTCCCAGAAACACAAGAGAATTCTATGTCATGAAAGTAAAAGTGCTTACCAGTGCAGACTCACTGTCACTTTCGTCTTCTTTTCGATACAATGCATGAACCAAGACAGCATAACCCAAGCGATCACGGCTCCAAGTCCCTGTTGCTATGGATGATTCAGCGCCTACCTAAAAATTAAGGTATATGAGAAATATGAGATAGACAAACGCAAAACCAAGATTCAGAGTTTCAGAAGCCTCTAGATCCAGTAATTCTCATCAAATCTATTCTGAGGCTAGATCAAGTAACTTCGTATACTACCTGAGAGTTTTGCAAAAAGGCGTAGAGGAACGAAAACAGAAAGATTTTGTAGACAAGTTCTCAGCAAAACGCGACATATGGAGAGGATTACTGTGCTTTTATAACGTCAAGGATGTGTTCGCAATAGATTCGTGTTTTCTTTCGAAAAGTCCGAATATTCAACCGCGTGACGATTTCTCAAATATAGGATGGCACATTACGTCTTACAAGGGAAGCTTGTTTAGTCGAAGTGGCCTTTTCATATGGCATGTGCACCATATGCAAGGGCATGAAACGCTGACTCCAAATCTGCCTTCCTTATCTGCAAAATGTTTAAGGACAAGGAGTTATGAGCGTTTTTTGGAGCGAAAAATTGAATGTGCATTTTTGATAAAATGAGTTGCTAAAATCTTACTAGCTTTCAAAAAACGCAACCAAGTGTTCTATAATTTTATTTTAGGGTGTTTTTGAATAGAGTGCTTTGGTGATTATCACTGCTCCAATGAACAGCTAAAAAAGTATTACGGCTATTTTTGTCCTACTTGCGCATTCGATTTTGTCCTCCAATAAGCGCTCATAACTCCTCGTCTATAAAGTTCGCAGATAAGGAACAGCATTTTATGTTTTTCAATATGGTATACATCCTATCTAAAAAGGCCACTTCGACTAAACATGCTTTCCTTGTAAGTAATGTGATAAACAAACTGATAAATAAAGATATAGACAAATAATAATATAGATAAATAAATAAAAAAAGCTTAGGACAAAAGAAAATCGTTAGGCTGCCAGAAATTGTCATAACTTGGAAGAAAAATGAAGAAATGGAGATAAGGAGAGAAGCATTACCCGTAATGCAATGAGAACAGCTGCCTTGCACGCCGCCCGTTCCTGTTCATGCAACGACTTGGTGGTCCATTCTGCTGCAAGATACCTATTACTAGTCGTGTGAAAGGGGGAGATAAGGAGGTCATCAACATGCCTTCGATTATAGTCTTTATGGCTGCAACGATCTCCTTCACATTTTGTTTCGCTCTTTGACAGAGCACCAATTGTTGCAACAATGGATGAAGACGGTCTAGCACGAATTCTCCCATTTGTTCAAGATTTCATGGTACCTGAGAATCCGACCATAAACTGTGTTTAGATTTCACTAAGCCAAGAGAAGAAGAAACATGCAAAGGGGTAATTCTGGAAAGGACATGTCCTTCACAAGTACATTTTACACCAGTCACCTGCGATTACCATTCTTCGCAACCTGTTCACCATTGCCAGAATTTGTTGACAATTTAGTATGGCCAAAGTGACGCTTACAAGAGAGGTCCGTAGTCGAAGTGGCCTTTCCAAATGATCTTACACCACTTTCAAAAGCATCGAACCGTGATTGCAAATCTTATTTCATGATCTGAGCGCCTCTGCATGCCGAGTTACGAATATTTTCTTTCTGCGAAAAATGAACGCGTAATCAAAGTAAAGTCAAGTTTTACGGTCTTTTCAGCGCTCAAATAGAGCAGCGTTAAATAGAGTGTTTTGGACAGAAGGTATTGTTCAAATGAACTGCTCTGATAATCAACAATGGACAATTTGAGCAATTTAACTAATTTTTTTCAATTGTGCCGTCAAGTTTCAACTTGAAAAACGCTCATAACTTGATTTCTAGAGGCGCTCGGCAGATAACGAAGACAGATTTGGAATCAGCGTTCGATGCTCTTTATAGTTGTATCAATTTCATGCAAAAAGGTCATTTCGGCCAAACGGACCTCCCCTTGTTAGAAGTACACCCAATGAATGTTCTCCATTTTGGTAAAATAATAACTAAGTGCATCTAGTAGGGACCCAAAAGTATCATAGCACCAGACTGACTATTCAGGATGTATCGTCGATTCATTGGCCGTACGGACTGCTCAACCGCTGCGGACCACGCGCGGCGCGGTTAAAATGTTGCGAGAGCACGATTTTAACAATGGCGAGTTTGTATTGGAGCAAGCGTTTTACCTCGCGGCGCGTGCTCCGCGGTTATGTCCAGTCCGTACAGTCAACGAATCGACGATAGGTAAGCTGGTACAGGTGGAGGCGAGGGAGGGGGGAATCAGAAGGAGTAGAAAAAGCCAAAATGTTGTAGGCATGGTATCAAAAGATCTATAGCAGGTTTCCTACCAAATGTCTTCTATAGTGACATCTCCAAAGTTTAGAACTGAAGATTCCCTAACCCTAGTTCCTCTGACAGTTCATATCCGCATTACCAAGAACTTCAATCGCATTCTCACAAAACAACTTGGTTTATTTAGAAGACGCTGAAAGAATGTATGATGAAGTTCAACGTCTCAATATCTACTTCATAGTCGAGGAGTCTAGTACGTACCAACCAATTCACTCCCGAAAAGTAAATGACTTCGTTGGCAAGGGACGAGGATCGAACCTTTGATAGGTATCCACCCTTTCTTACCATACTCACCCGAGAGCAAAGTGGTAGATAAAAAGTTTTTGATGATTACTGCACAATGGATAAGTGTAAAAGATTGAAAAATACGTCCGTGACTTTCTCCATCTGCGAATCGGAATAGAAAACAGGACGGTATCTGCTGCTGACAGGTATGGAATGTGACAAAACCAAGTTGGTCATATTTATAGCATGCATCTATACAGCACAATTCTAAACAATAACAATACACTGTCCCAAAAATGACGACCTAAAGGTGATATAAACGCAGATCAATGCAACCAAAACGAAAAGAAATGCGCTGTATATCTGTACAATAAAGGCTTCATCGAGCAAATAACATTTGTGAGCTTTGAAATGACGGCAATTGGTTTGAACGTAATGTCCAAGCGTTAATGCACAAAACGACTACAGCCTAGAAAACTACGACAAGAACAAGCACAGGAGAAAATTCCTGACATAACATTATATCGCACTGGGATTCTCTTCGTAACTTATTTACAGAAAAAGAGGAAAAATAAAGTAATTTGAAATATAGTATCACACGTATTTGAGATTCATAAGAACATGAACATGCATCAGGCAAAAATAACCTGACTACATATGCGGATTGTGCCTAACTATATATATGCAATCTGTAGCAATTAAGGCATTAGATTATGTGAAGACTGTCCGTATCTGCCAAAAAAGTACCGGTTCGTGCTGTCAAAAGCGTCCTACCAATCTATTCATCTGTGAAAAAGCATTGTCTGGCACGATGTCATGGTAATCTGGTGGGCGAAACATTTGTCCAACCGACCATTTGAGAATTTCACCACCTTTGGCGGTGATAGGAGCAGTCTAGAAAGGAAATAATTTCAACTAAAAATAAGACTTGACTTCTGACTCACCTCATGGTAAGAAATAAGATCAAACAATTGGTCGTGTACAACTTGATTTGTGCCAAGAAACTGATATCCTTCAGGTATACGTTCGACGAGAAAGTGCTTAAAAGTACCATCACCTACCACGTACGATACAGTATACCTGCAAGGGCGACTTAGAGCAAAAAATAATCAACAAAAAAATCCAGTGAATCAACGCACCCCCATATTCTCTCCGAAACGCGGACGAGGAACGAGCCGGTCGGTTTATCTTGAAGCAGAATCTCCGCTTGATCTCGAGAAATGATTCCTAAAGCATCTTGTTTATGAATTAAGCAGTAGTAAGAGCAGGGTCTCAAGAAAAGCCTCTGAACGATGCTATGAAAGTGAATCAAAGAAAGCAATTGAAAATGATTAGCCCCACCGTGGAACCAAGGGGCTGGCAGCCTTGTTTTGGGATCTTGACCGGTACCTCTAGGCCACTCATCCCTCTTGAACCAATCCACAATCGCAGCGCGCGATTTTGGTTTAGGTGGTCTGGGCAGGTTTTTGCTGAAAACGGACAAACGACACATGAGAAAGGAAGAATCTAAGTCCACAATAGTAAAACATACATAGCCTCTCTCAGAGATGTAGCTTTTGTGTCTTTCAGCGCCGGCAAAATGCTTGTCGACGTTCTTATTAATTGTCGGTGCTGCTCGCGCGCTTTCTGAGCCATTTTACGCATCGCCTCTTCTGCTTCACGAGCACGCTGATCTTAAGTGAGCTAGTTTTAAAAAAATAGTTTTAAAAAATGTAGAATAACCGCAAATGCAGAAATCATACTATTTAGAGAAAGCGAAAAAAGAACAATGTGGAATAAAGACACAAAACTCAAAAATAACGACGAGGTAAAGCTTACTTTGCTGCTCCCACTCAATCCGCTGTCTCTCCGACTCCGCCTCGGCTTCCCGTCGTATGCGTTCTCGCTTTTCCTGAATAAAAATGAGTTGGCGAAAAAATAAATGTATGGAGTCATTTGAGCCAATAGCCCGTGCTAGTTCCTGTTATCATCCGAGCTACACAAGTTCGGTCAATTTTAGAAAAGTCTGATATTTAACACTGATAAAATATTCAACACAGCTTTTTGCTCACGAAAGAAAATCAAAAGGGGTGCGCAGAAACATAAGAATTTTAAGTTTAACATATTTTTGCTTTCCTAACACAACACATGAAGCAAAAATAAAACTCTATCTATCCTATTTACAACCTACTCTTCAAATTCGTGCTTTCTATACTACGATCTAAATGACACCACAACAAGACAAAACACTAGGCTGTGGTGTTTCAGTCTATGTTCCCACGAAACAACCGTGGACGCCGAAAAACCTACACATTCCGTGGCCGGGTCGGGGAATCCTGCACATCACCAAGATAGCGAAACGAAAAAAAGACAACGTTTTATTCACCTGGATGCTTTGGAAGATTTCTGACTCTCGTTTTTGGACATCTTCAGCTTTTTGTTCCGGAGTTATATCTCGAGGCGGTCTTAGTTTCACACCTGAATTGTTATTAACAGTCATCTCCGTGAAGAAGTCACCGAGATTTGATAATATCTGGCATTGTCATTAGGCTTGTCACTTCTTGACGGCGTAGTTATTCTTTTCAAGGAAATCTTGTCAGTGATGAACGATACGACACTGACAAGGTGTCATAAAAATGTCTTTGCAAATGCTCAGGGTAAAAAGAAAAAAAAACACGACTTAGTACGACCTCTGATTACGACTAGCAACTGTAGTCTCAATGATGTACCTGGAGTCGTGTCGTGCTAAGCTCATAGAAAAAACAAACACCCATGAAATTGTGGAGACTACTGGCACTTGAAAAACGTTGACAAAGAAAACCCACCATTAACCAACAGTGTATCCTGCCAAGATGTAGTGGGTAGAGGCACAGCAGGAGGCAAACTCTGGGTCTGGAAGTTTACACATTAATTCACATATAGGCAAGCATGTATGTAAACGCTTCGTACCGCTTGCACAGCAACCTTTTGGGCAAGATTTGGTGGTCGAGCTGGAACAGGCGGTGGCGGACCACGAAGCTCGGCTTTTTGTGGTTGAGGCGTTGTGAAACTTGATACTGTCGTTGATGTAACGGCTATGGGACGAGGAGGTGGAGAAGTTCCATTGGTATGGGCAACCCCTGGTACAGAAAATTCAGTACCTTATGCACTATGCAAAAAAAAAACTGACCATTTCCATTCAGTGACAACTCTCTTCTGACTGGTCTGAATAACAATGGATGCGCGGGGTCGAAAGGCGTGTCAGAGTCGTCGTATACAGAATCCTAAATTGCGGAAACAGTCATATGACTGAGCTAGAGTTAGTAAAAGGAACACTGAGAAAGCATGAAAACACCCTGCACAGTTGTTAAATAAAACATCGAACAAGCAAAACTGAGAAGCATTTTATGGCTCTGAGACTAAGATTTTTGTCACCAAAAAAGCAACCATTCACTATGACGATGAACGAATGCCCTCGATGTGTAAAACATTAAGTAAAAATAGATATAACCGACAACTCGACATACCGTGACTCCCACCCGCAACTGTCCCAGTTGTGCCTTCAGTGCTTCTTCAGGTTCTTTGACATCACCGTTATCTTGGCCGGCTAGCTCTTTCAAAGCTCGTTTATGGGCTTCTTGTCGAGCCTAAACACATAATACACGAATTGAACTGTGAAAAATTATATGCAAGTCACCTCTTCTTCCAGTATTTCCTCTATGGATTTATCCATTGGGTGATCACCCATCACCCAGACCCATACTTCACCATCGGCTCCTGTCAACCACCTAAATCTGGACTCTGACTGCTAAGCCACAAAATATCTTGGGAACAATTAGTACATACTTGATTCCTCTCTTATTTGTCTTTTTCTTCGGAGCTCCCTCTCTTTCCAGCCGTTCCTCATTTGCCTGCCATTTCCTAACCTAAAAATCGATCAGTAGAAGGACAGAGAGACACGCCCCAAAAAACAGAATGGCAGGTGTGGCAATGCAAATCACATGAGACATTCTTTGCAGTTATGCATTTTCAATGAATACCCGCAAGGAATGCGACTACTTTCTATTACTTTTTCTTCAGCACAGACCTCGGAATGGCTTACAATTCTTTGCAGATTTTTATTGCAGTGAGTGCAAGAAAATGAAAGCCGACTAAGACGAAAAATGGCAGCCTTTTTACTGATGCATGGTACTCACCCAACATAACACAAAAGATTCTTTCACATACTGCAAAGAATTTATGACTATGCCACTAACAGAAAATCTAACATGGGTCACGAGGTTGAAATGGCCAAGCACGACAGAGCCATTGCTTTAAATTTGAAAGTTGACCCCGAATCTGTCTTCCCTAGTCGAGAAACGCTTTTGGAGAAGATATTATGGGCGCTTTTTGCAAAAATGAGTGCGCATCCGTGTTAGAATAAAATGCCACAGTCGTTTCGGCAAATGGAAAAGTGGTGAGTGTCAGAACCTATGAAATGAATACTTTTCAACTGGTCTACTCAGGCTCATCAGAGCTCTGCCTGATCTCTACAAAGACTGTGACGGTTCATTTTATGCCAACCATGCATTCTTTGTATCAGATTATTCAGAACTTCTTTCCCACAATGGTTTTGCAGACAAGGAATAGAAAATTATAAAATTTATCAATAGTGTTTTTAGTAATGATGTGTACTGTGGATACCGACCATTTCGACTTCAAAACGCTCCGAAAGCAAAGATGAAGATGATGGAACATTATATATGGATTGCATTCCGCCAAGAAAAGTGAAATGTGAAAATAGGCATTTGAAGCCGAGTTGGTGCTGATGATATCTTGAGTAACTGTGGGGTAAACTTCTTAAGTCCTTAATCACGCGCATAAACTTAAAGTAACACATTCCCTTTACTTGAGTTCAAAATCGTCTTCATATACAAAATCAAAATTCTGAAGTGAGGTCCTTGAACATGCAAAACGAAGCCACATTTACATATACAGCAAGCGTTCAATCCGCTCTTTGCCGAAATTCACACGGAAAAGAATTCAGCGACTAAATCATATGCGTTAGAAAAACGAAAACTTCTGCTTCCATTTGAATAGACTTTTAGGTTGAACTATTCGAAAAAGAAATACAATAGTGTGCAAAAATAAGTTGCAAAAAGAAACTAACATAATAAGGAATTTGAATTGAAAAGAAAAAATGAAATCGATAGAGACGTACCTGCTCTGCACGCATTTGACAAAACAGTAATTGTTTCTGTGCATCATCTAATGCATCAAGAAGCTCTTTATCTACATGACCCTGAAATAAAAACTTAGAAATTGTGAGAAACATAAGGGAATCAATTTCGAACTCACCGTACTCAAAATCTCCGATAAAATGCTCATGATTACAAATCAAACAGAACTAAAAGATGGGCGTCTGCCCAACGATGATTAGCAGTAGTAGAACAAGGCAGAAAGGAACTGAAGCGGGATTCTCTGCAAAAGTATTGTTTTGTGCCTTACATATCCATGGCGACAAACAATGACACAAATAGAAAGCAGAAAATCATAGCAGCTACGCTTAAAATTGCGATGCAGGCGAAAAAAAGGCGAGATATAACATAAAAGAACAATGAATCACTAAGCAAATGCCACGAACAGCACGTAGCATCTGAAAGGATCACGTAAAGAGAGGTTCAATGTTGTGCAGTTGCACAGATTTCAGAGATTGCCATGGGAAAAGATGAAAGAAAACCATTTGAAGGCACCTTTATGATTAGTCATTCATAATCCGATCAAACCGCATAATCGATAATGACTCAAGAAACAAAAAGCAGAAACTGTCAGGGCAGTAAAAATGAGATTGAAAGATAAGCGGGAAAAGTGCAAAAAAAGTACCAGACGCGTTTACACAAGCAAATGAAAAAAATAAGTACTACTGAAAGAAGTACTAAGCAGGACTAAAGAAAGATGCCCTCTCTTATCCAAATGATGGGATGATGGAGGTTGCACAGTATATATGGAAACATTTTCATAGACGCTGGCGTTAACGTCCAAGACCAAACAAACGAATAATACAGCAAGCCGGCAAGTTAAATGCAGCCTGGTGGATTTGACCATGCATGCCGTTGCGGTGACGGCAACATTTGCGCGGAAGGATAAAGGCTGCAGGACGAAGGCGCAGAAGCTGTATTAGTGAGCGGACGCGAACGCGACGCGCGCATATTTTCACCATTGTGAACTCTGCGCCTCCTGCTCTGTGGCAAGAAAAACCGCATTCGCGCTCAAAGGTATTGCGCCTTTGACATGCAGTAGCCTATGCACCATGTTTGAGGCGCGTATTGTCACTGCTCACGCGCAAATGTTGTTTGCGACGCAATAATATTAGGTTGGTGCAAAAGTTCTTTCGCACCAAATTCAAAAATTCATTACTTGTTGAATTCTCAGCGAATCTGCAAGATCTGAATTTTGCATAAGAGAAGAACTCATGCTCTTTGCACTGGTACTTGAAACTTTCGCTATCAAGAACAGATAAAGGAGATTGAAGCTAAAAACCAAAACCACTCAAAATTTGAATTTTTCGTGTAGGGTCATAAAAAATCGGAAACTTGCAACAAAAATCGGAGCAGTCAGTATTGTAGGCGCTTTCACAAGCTCTTTCCAAAAGTCCAAAATTTGCGCCGATTGAGCGTCTCTATGAAATGTTATGATTTTCGAGCAAGCAGTACAAAAGGGCGAATTTGATTTATTTTGGCATTTTTCAGGGAATTCATAACTTTTCACAGAGACTGTCAATCGGCGGAAACTTTGCACTGTTGGAAAGAGCTTGCGAAAGAGCCTACAATAATGACTGCTCCAATTTTTGTTGCAAGTTTCCGCTTTTTTATGACCCTATACGAAAAATTCAAATTTTGAGTGAATTTTGAGCTTCTATCTCCTTCATTTGTAAACATTAACGAACAATTCACAGTTGCAAGAGCATAAGTTCCTCTCTTATACAAAATTTAGATCTTGCAGATTCGTTGAGAATTCAACAAATTATGAATTTTTGAATTAGTGCGAAAGAACTTTTGCACCAACCTGATATGATAGTATATAAATTGTCAAATAACTATCTTTCAATCTGAATGTGTGCCAAGGTTGACTGCTTTAAGAAACTATTTTTTAAGAAATTTTATTGAAATTTTGGGAAAAAAACTCATACAACATAGCTGTTTATCGACTAGGAAAGGAGGGAGACGTGGTGACACTATGCGAAGATTTCAAAGGCATTTGCTCGGATCAAGAAATGTTACTGATACCATAAGAAATAGGCGAGCGAAACCAAATCAATCATATCTGCGGGTAAAAGCCAATAATTCGTCAAGAAAAGCATGATTGATGGGCGAAAATCGTGCAAACATTTATGAAAAACGCACGTCGTGCAATAATCAAGACACTTTTGGGTACCTGTGAAAACGAAAATCCAAATTTGATATTCCACCCAGGAAATGCGTCAGTCCAACTGCGATCACCAACGTCGAAATCGCCAGCAACGATTGCGAACAGCTGTTCATGAGCGTTGCTGAGTGATTCGCGACATAAGCGCTGGCCGGTGAGCCATTGTGATCCCCCTTTCGCATTTGGGGCAGTCGGGGTAAGCACTTTTGGCGGCACCATCATCCCATAACAGGATATCCGTGCCATCGATCATGGTCGTAGATACGGCTGCTATTTATTCCGAACGCAAGGGCTATCATTCGCTTTCGAATAGATGACGTGACGAGAAAAATAGTGCCGGCTAATAGGTTTGCTCTCGGAAAGCGCGTAAATAATTATTGGAAACGGTTGATGACATACAATTCGTCATCTTCAATCCTTCCTAGACAATTCGATTAAGCGCTGTAATTTACCTATGAACACAATATGACCCAAACTAATCGAGTCGATCTTCCAAATGAGATTTTTCGCTCTTCAGAAAGAGTTCTGTAAATGCCAGAAAAGACTGAAAAAAAAAGGAGTATATCAAAGCTATTATCACATGATCACATATCCAGAATAGTCCAGTAAATAGAGCAATCAAAACAGTGCCTTTGCGGTGATGACAATTTTTGCACGGGACACTGCTTTGGGGAGACGGTCAAGAGGCGCGATTTCTCCGGTTGTCACCAACTCAAAACTTCGGTTTACTGCTACGCTAGTCCTCAAAAACCACATGAGGTGCATCAGCTTGCTATGGTCTATGGTTGTCATCTACTGATTTTGGGGGCTTTTGCTGGAAAACGGACAGAAATATTCACGGATTTGTTCTTGACTGCACTTTCATGGGGTTTTGCCTTCAAAATTGCTGTTTTGAATTAATTCGAAAGTAGCAAGATTGAGGAACTCATGTAGCTATCCAATATATCTCCTTCTAAAAATTGAATGTTTTTAGAATGTGGTAAAGCACTTGTTATGCGCTATTTTATGTCCATCTGGCCACCCTAGATGGACGCTTGATATAGTGTCTTTCCGGTACCAAATTTTGCCGGCAACATGTGCTCGTGAAAAAAATGTTACCGAGCACAAACGAAAAATGTGCGCTCCTTGACCAATCTCTACGCGCAAAATTGTCGCCAGAGGCTATTTATACGTAAAATGTTGGCAAATTTTAGCAAGCCGCAAAAAACTTTATGGGTCAGATCTATTAGCCTATACATAAAAGAGGAAAAAGTTTGAACACTCCTTTCGTTCCTTCCCTTAAACGGAGTAAAGGATCTCAGAACTCCCCGGAAACTCCTAAGTAAGGAAAGAGAGGTCCATGAGTCCTGTGCAAATTCTAAAATAGTTTCAAGATAAAATTTTTAAATTTTATTAAAATACTCACAACTCACAGTTGTACAAGCCACACTACATGTCTACTATACATGTAATGCGGCCACTGGACTGCACTTTCTTTTGCACTCTAATGGCCGTTTTTGACGCGCAAATGTTGTGGGCAATGTAGCACACTAAATTAGTCAAATTTGCTTTCTACAATCTGCTGCATTATTTTGACTTGAGCTGCGCAGATAACGCAGGTAGTAAAATATGCAGATCATAGGCACAACACTTCCTAGACATCTATAGCATCGTAAAAACACATGAAAAGATCTGCATGAGTAATAATCGCTGAAACATTATTGTACGAAGCGCTGAAAGAGAGGCTGAGAAAGCACTCACATGCATGATTAATTCAGCCAAAACAAAAAGCGCACATTCCTTTGGAATCAAGGACAACTACGCGGGATTATCGGAACAAACTGTGTAACAGACAGGTGAAATTCAATCGGCGTTCGTCTACGACAGAACAGCTGATTTGAGCCGCTTTGGTGTCGTCTAACTTCAGGGCTCACATTTTCACAGACGTCGCCCTTGCGTCAATGACAATTACTCATCGGAGGCTAGCATTTAGCTGGTAACGAGCTTCCGAAGGACTTCGTTGCCAGTGAAATTGCCCAGCGATGGCGAAGTCTGCGTTGTAAGTACTTCGGCAGTAAAGCACATCCAACATATAGTTTTGATATTCCTTTGTATAAAAAGCTTCTAACATAAGCAACAGATTTTTTGGAATCATAAAGCCTTCCAATTCCAACAAAACTGTTTGTGCCGAAATATACGGGGAAAATCCAGCTCCCTAAAAGTGCCTACTGTAAAAATCACTGTTATCAGTTAGCAGCGATACAAGCTGACAAAGAAAAGTGATGTCAGTGCATTGCGCATTTTTTCTATATTCGTCCGGCGAAATGATAAACCCATTAAAATGTCAAAATGTCCTACAACTGAATTTTTTTTCTGAGTTCGGTCCCATTCCTTCAAGTGAGAAAAAATTTTTGCTAATCGCAGATCTAGAAGATATTTTCCAACTATTTCATTATAGTCTTTAGTCTACTCTTCGATTTAACTGACATACAACCACTTACGTGCGTAATGAGACATAACAAATTTTACAAAAATAAAAAGTGACAAAATATCGTCCCTATAAAGATCTCCAAACAATTTTTCCCTATAGTTTTTAATACAAGACTTGTGAAATAACTCTATATACAAAAGATTCAAAAAAACCCCACTGATTTAGTCCACTAAAAAGCGATTCTATGTGCTAGGCTATTCTTCCTGAGCAATTCCATTTCCTATCACCCAGACAACAAACATAAACCTTATCAGTCATTTCTGCTTCTAAACACTCACAACTGTGGTTTCGCGGTATCCTCTGCCAAAAAAGCCTGAATCATCAGCCGTGACCAAAAGCTGAAGTTTTTTGAAACACCGATAATCAGTTCAAAAAACGTTATCAGAAGCGGATTAAGCATGGACTTCGGCACTACTGAGTATCTTCATTAGTAAGTCTTTTATCTCTTTTGGAAAAAAAGCGGGAAAGAAAATAGCACTTAGAAACAAATCCTATAAACACTGATATCTATATACGAAATAGTTAACGACAATCTGCGGAATAAAAACTCTGATTTAAAAAAATCTAGCTTCCAGAAAAAGGGTGTTTGACCTTATTACAGCACACAAAATATTG